CCTCTCCCTTTTTCACAGCATGCCATTCTATTAGTGCAGTGTTGCTGTGGGTAACCACTGCACTGGCTGCAGCAGTATGTGGTCAAACGCTACCAGTTGTAGTAAAATCTCAGACCATTTCATGCTCTACTGGGCCCCTCTTTCTAGCTCTGCCTCTCTCTGCTGCTGCTTATTGCGCTGTCAGAGAGTAAAGAGGGGAGCGAGAGAGAAATCAATGAGTATAAGGGAAAAGTGGACTGATAAAGGCAGGACCAAAAATAAATGAATGGAGGAGAGGGAGTATGGAAAGCAGAGGGAGAAAAGAGTAAAAGAGAGTCCAGGAGAAACAAGAGAGGTGGAAACAGACAAATACACTTCAGCTCAACACAAAACCACAACATTTTGTTATGTATTTTTTAAGGTCAAACCCCGGTGTCCTTCTTTTGCCCTTTTCATCCTCACTCACTCTCTTTCCTATATCGCTCTACCCACTGTCTCTCCCCCTATTCATTTTTCAGAACGCATAGGTTATTGTGTTTGCTTAAGAAAATGGTGGTTATCCTATCATAAAACAAGGCCATGTGGATTCCTTGACAACTAGCTTTAGATACAGAAGCCACTAGCATTACTGTACTCCTCTCAATGGGGCCTTTGTCGCTATATGACATCACGTCCTCCTTTGCTCCCATCATAGTTACTATGTCACTTAACAATAAAACATAACTATGGGTCTTAGTAAAAAGACCTAAAGGGTCATTTATTATGGGAAGAGAATGTCTCAAAATAAAACAAAGGGAAGGTCAGTAAATGTCAGATGGTGTGAACCATTTCCTAGGCTCTCATGCCCAGGGCCCATATGATGATGAAGTCCTCAGGGGACAGTCGGGTCGATATGGTTTGATGCCACCACTAACACAATCAACACATTATGGTTTATTTCTGGCCTCTTTTTGTCTTTTGTGTTTCATGGAAAAAGAGGGACTCAATGACTCTGCTTTGAATTTTACATTATTTACTGTTCCTGTCTCCTCCCGCTTTACCTCAGTCCACCCTTTTCTTTTATTGTAATAAATGGAGATGTGAGCTTGCAGTGAGATCCAGCAGCACCAGTAGTCTGCCCATGGATCAGACCTCTCTGCTGGAATTCTGCTCTGTCTGCCTATTTGCATGCTTCCTGCTTTTACCTGTGGCGATTTCCATGTCTTCTAGGTCATGGGATATTTAAAATAACTTCTCATCTGCCAGTACAAGTATCTCTCTTCCCTTTCCTTCAGTTCTATTTTGTGGGTTTTCTCTCTGACCTGGGGCCATGATTAAGAGGGACCGCTGGGGTCATTCGTATTGTGCCGCTAGAGGTGAAATTCTTGGACCGGTGCAAGACGGACGAAAGCGAAAGCATTTGCCAAGAATGTTTTCATTAATCAATCCTCTGTGCACCCTACTGCATGTGACCATTTTTTGTTTACAACATGTTAACATAGCCAGCATAGTTTTGGTCAGTTTGCAATAAGGGGAGCTCTTCCAAAAAAGGACACAGTGAACCAATACTGGTACAAATGTGGCAGAAATGTGAGAAGTGTTTGGCTGCAGACTTGATGCACAGCTGTAGAGGGGTTGTTAAATTTGTATGTGAGGGGAAGAAAGTGACTTAGCATTAAAGAAGTATAGGTAGAAAGATATACATGTATTTAAATTTCTGGTACAGGAGGTTGAAATGCGACTGCCACATCACATTTAAAGAAAGATGATTATAAAATCATGTCATTAACAGATAAAATGCATTGACAATGACTTAAAGATTTAGAGAAGTGACTTTGTGTTTGAAAGGTTGCCAGGTCAAATGCTCAAATGAGCTGGGACAGTGTGGGTGGGTGAGCTGTCAACAGCTAATGATCGGGTGCCCTGTCAGTAATTAATCTCCAATGTAGGTGCCTCAGTGTCCAGCAGCTGAGGCCTGCAGTTGTTCTGGGCATCTTCACATGTGAATTTGCATGAATTGGCTTTGCTAGCAACTGTGTCCTCTTGGTCCTGGAGTATACAAAGTTAAAGATCTTCTGAGCAGATTTTCTTAAGCACTATTATTTTTTCAAATAGGGTGTTATCATTGGTGCCTCACAACATGCATGGCTCCAACCCTGGAAGAAAGTACATGTAAGATAATACACCATTTATTGTAAAACAAAGCAGGATATTCTGACTTTTTGCTGGATGATGTGTTTTGTATGCAGGTCTTTAAAAGCCCACATGATGATACAAATGGATTTCATTAATACATTCCTATTCTTGCTGTGCAGTGGTCCGGTTAATAGTATTTTTGGATGCATAATCATTTTTATCAACATCACGGAGATAAAAAAACAAACAAAAAACCTTTGTGACGTGTTTCTGTGGTTACATTACCTGGAAGTGTTCCCAAAACTAGACACATTTAGAAATGCTCTATGATTGAGGTGAACAAAGGCAGAGTGGAGTTACAAGTTTGATGATAAAATGTGAGGTGAGAGCTGTGATAACCAAGTAGATAAAAGTGGCCACAATAACTGCAAAGGTCCTGGAGCTTGTATGGGAGGAATAGCTCATAGCAGTCATAGTGGCGATAGTGATGCTGTCAGACAAGACAAGCTGCCTAGGCAGAAAGGACACACACTGTACGAGCTCCAATGTGCAGAATCCCTGTCTTACAGAGGTGTGATACCGTTTCATCTGTTTGTTTTTCATCTATTTCTCTGTGTTCAAAGATGCAAATATATTACATCCACGTGCTCGCTCATTGAAACAGGCTAATCAGAAGAATCCAGGCTCTGATCTTTGATTGATTTTTACCTATTAAATCTACTTCATTCATGAGCAGGGATTTAGATGAAGGGGAGCGGAGCCTAGATATCCTTTAAAGCTGCTGTTATGTTGCTTTATTATCTATTTAAATTTAAAGCCATGATTGCCAAAGTGTATAGTGGTACAGTATTTCTGCCCCCTGTAGCAGGATGTGTCTGCTTTTGAGTAAAAACCATCAGCACTCTTATAGTTTGGCAGAGAAGATGGTTTTAAGAAGCAATATCCTTGACAGTGGAAAACCTTGTCCTGCCACCAGATTGCTTCCCTTGTATCTATGATGACTGGATGTCCCAGTTTACCAGGGACAGTGCTGCGACAGTCCTTAAGAGTGCATCGATCAGTCACAGTGGCCTTTTCGTCTCTCCTGTGTTCTTTTAGAAAATTTTTACTGTCACTCAAACATCTAAGGTCATGTAGCTATGGGCTAGATTACATTTTATAATGTGATTACATAGAATAACAGTCGTAAAACAGTATGTGGGCTATCTTGTTCTTTAGACCTGCATGTCCTCTTCTCTTCTGCACATTTTTCAAAGGCATGTAGGTGTGCAGGATCCTTTTTCCCCCACATAACCAGCAGCCATGCGTGACTCAGATTCTAGTATCTCTCCTCTCTCTCTCTCTCACTGCACACAACAACCAATCTGGCTGCTGCAGGCGCCAGGCTAGCTACAGCTTTAGACAAAATGTGAAAAATGTCACAATGAACCGGGAATGAGATTTTTGTTATACTGCAGTTTAACAAAACGCTTTGCTCTGCTCTGAAAAGATGAAAGGGTGATAAGAGGTGAGTGATGGTGCCTGTGAGTTTTAGCATTGGTGAGAGTCAGAGACAGAAATCACTGTACTTGTGCCAAAATGTCTGGTGACCTTAGTTACACACTGACTCAACAGATGTCCGGCCTCTGAGTATGGGTTCCTGACGCTCTGCTTGTCTCTCAACACAGAAAGACACCATCCTAATGACTAATAAAAGCTTGAAATATACATAAGGCATGTAATTAACTATTAGCCAAAGGCAGCCATTTCCAGTCACATCCTGTAAGGGGACCTAATCCCATCTGAGGTGCTAAACCTTAAACCTATGAGGAAACAAATATTTCTTACCAAGTAACATGACAGTCCCATGTCTTACTGACCAGACAAGTGTGGTGTCAGTCTTCTCATCAAACTCAAGAGTGAATAGGCATACTGTTTTCCTCAAATGGTCAAACTGTTCCCTGTACATACCTTTTCATGTCACTTTGTGTGTGGTGGGACCAACCCCGTGTTTTCCTGCTATTCTGGCAGTAAGAGTAATTTGGTAATTCCAGTAGGGAATTCCCTTTCAGCTTTACCTGACCTGGAATTTGATAGTAGAGATGCAGGATAGGGATTTTCTGTGTGTGTCTGTGTAAGATCACCACAGGAAGTGAACCCAGGTTTACGGTGACAGTTTATTACTTGACCTCTGTGTTTTTCATCTGGTCTTACATCCAGGTGTTCGACCCCTACAGTGAGGCTGGGTTTTACAGTAGGAGTCTGATATAGAGGCAGCACAACAGCACACACCGGTTCAAGATAATAACAAGATATTCAGTGTGTTGAGTATTAAGTTTGTTCTGCCACCGGGGAGTGCTAGCAATCACTTGTTTCCAATACAAATCACCTTGTTGTTTGTTTTCAATGCAAATCACATAGTCTCAGCTCATGATTCTTTGTGAGCATATTGGAAAACGAATAGAGTATTTTCTGCCTCAAAAACAAATAGACCC